GTGCTGTTGACGAAATCGTCAATGAATGGACGACATCGCTACGCATGACGGGTGGATACGCATGTGCTACAAGCAGCCCGTAGCGATATAGCTGCAGAACCGGCCCGCACAAACTAGCAGCATCGAAATTAAATTTATTTATAGAACAGTTGAAACGCATATTTTCGAAAACACGAGGGCGGTACCCGCGATTCTGTATCAATGTAACCAAGGCACACCATGTATAGCGCCGAATCTTATCACGAGTTATAATCATTAGATCGGCAGCGATTTAATTATTACTATTCAACGGGCTAGTAGAACTAACTTTGAGGATTTACTAAATGAATGATAGAACAATAACTGTATGAATGTAACGGAATAAGGTACTCGGTTCTCGATGTGGCAAATTGTGCGACGGTATTTCGCACCGGATATTTCGTATGATTCATGCTATAATGGTGCATGGGCGAAATCTAATTCGATGTACAAGCTGCACTGATGAGCTTGAGTCGATGGGTAATTAAACATCGCAATTAAGAGCAGGAGCAAATCATTTCTCGTGAATGCTTGATATCGTCGGCTATTTGCACAGAGAGAACTTTTCCTTCGCGTTCTGTTCTCGTGATTTATTGGTCTGGAACGGTGATGGTTCTGCCCACCACTGGACACTGTCTTCCGGCTTGACCGGTGACATTGACCGACTACGAGCTAGTCACCGTCGACTACGGACTAGCTTGTCAGGTTATAGTTGATATACTGATGCCTCTCTTCCGACATTGAAAGATAGCCTAACTGTTTAGCTATACTTCATGATCGTACGTGTGTACGTCGCCTGTTCTTGGTCCTTGTCTTTTTGTTACATGGCAGTCAATGTTTTGAACTATGTGGGCACGATATACATGCGGGGATAAGAACTCCCGGCTTTCATACGACGACTGAGTTATAACCATATGGTAGCTAAGATCGACGTTAGTGAGAAGCTCCTGCGATGAAACGCATGACGCTGAGAAGAAATTACCTTACCTTGAAACAACGCGGAGAAAAACAGCGTTAATAAATGATAGAACAATAACTGTATGTATGCAACGGAATAACTCAGTTCGGAGTTATTCATGCCATTACCATTCTATAATGCAACGGGTACTCGGTTTACGATGCGGTAAATTATGCGACGGTATTTCATTAACCCGTTAGGATTCGCTATTCTTTCCAATTAGATATATTTTCTAGAATTACATAACACAGCAACAACAACAAAAACAACAACAACAGCAACCACAACAACAACAACGATCGTTACATCTTCATCTATTACAATGACTAAATCTCCAAGATGTCGTTAATCCGTTGAAATTAATCCATGCACTTGGCATTTGCGAGCTCTAGATTTGCGCCATGCTGTCTGCGATATACACGGATAACGAAACAGGTACACACATTCTCATCATTGTTTCACGTTCTTTCTCGTCCAGGTAATGTGAAATAAGCTAGGTAACAGCTGGGGAGCTACGTCTGAGTTATTTTTGGCGCAGGCTATAAATAGTTTAGCATCTCAAAATAGAACTTTACTCTGTCGTGCCACGTCAATAACACGTGGAAAACAACCGAATCAGTCTGACGTGTAAACTGCCAGCGGGCTTCTCTTGTTCTATTAATAGAGTCGAGGCGCGGTATAGTTAGGGATGTTCGGCACGTAGAATTGTTGCTAACACAGGTGTAATAGCGAGAGCCGGTAAACATCTCTAACAATACCAGGCACAGGATGAAATATAACCAGGCCGGGGGGTCAAGATGGTTGCCGGCTCGTAAGGTTCAGCAAATGTGGTGCGCAATCGAAGATTTTGCGAAATCACTCGAGATTTTTGCGCATGCAATCGTGCGATAGGTGTGCAATATAGGTGAGGTGTTGTTTAGACGCATCGCGTGGAATGTAATGTGTGATGCAATTCGAAATCGCGAGGAATGTTTTGGGAGTGTTGTGGAATAACGTGAAATGCGAGGACTATAGCGGTATAAACACGTGGTGCGAAATGTTAGCGCTTGTACACAAATCTTCTTCTGCCTTAACTTGATTCAACAAAAAGCATCGAATGATATCGTATCCTTGACATTTTGCTAGACGGTTATAGCCTCTTTACGAACCCTGTCAGTCTGTCTCGTGCGTACGTACATCAGAAATTGCACTTACTCCTGTCGGATTCCATTGATGAGACGTTATCGCCTTACGCAACAAAGCCAGACGAAACGAAAGATCCAAAATACGTATACCGTCGGTGTCCTATTTCTCCCTGAACGTGCCCATTCTTCAAGGTCAGCGTTTCCTATGGTCCTTTGTCTTGTGCCGGGGAGTATGTAGCTGTGCTATTCTCTATAAGGACTTCGAAGTATGGTGGGTGCGTCCGGCAAATATATCAGCGAGTCGCCCGGGGCAGCGATGTACGCGCGGGGGACGGAAACAGAAAGAAGGGGTGGAGCAGGCAGTGCCTCCTGCTCGGTGAAAAGGCCCCAGCCGCGTTCAGGCACGCCCTCTACCGTCGGCTGCTACTTTACCTGCGAGAGTAAGTAAATCGCACGGCGATTTTCGAGGAATGCGGCACGTCTGCCCGAATTTCGCCCGTAGCGCGTGTATTTTGGGTCATGCCGGCGCGCAGGTGGGTGAATTCGCGCTGTCTGGCTGTGCGTTTTTGATAGCAACTCTCGAAATAGCAACAGCTGAGCCGAGAGAAGTCCCGAAAACGCCGTTAGCCCTCGAGCTAATATATGCTATTTTCGACGTTTTTCCTAAGCCGACATTGAAAAGGGCTCGAGGCGCGTGTAGTAACTAGGTAAAACCGCATCTCCACCCAGCTGAGACGCCAAATATTCTGCGCTTGCGGTGACGTCACGGCTGACCGCTGCGCGAACCCTTCAGTAGTTCAGGTAGTATAGTAATTAAACACTGGGCTCCGCCCAAACTCACCTACATCTACATATCTCACACGCATGCAGTTGCATATCCGACGCCAGGCCCGACGAAATCTAACGAAAATTTCGTTGGTTTTCATTGGATTACCATTTCAAAAAAACGGTTTTTCATTGCGCGCGCAAACACACACACATACGCACGCATGCACGCTCACACATACACACGCACACAAACACACACACACACACACACACACACACACACACACACACACACCCACCACACACACACACACACACACACACACACACACACGAACAACACACTCGTACACACACAACATTAGCAACACAACGCGACCACATCACCACTACAGGCACAACATACACACACACACACACACCCACATCACACACTCACAAGCACACCCACATTACAACACACACGACAAGCACAACACCCACCACACACACACCACACTACAACTTACACACGTAACTAAAAA